TCTGTCTCTCTGTCTCTCTCAAGCATGTATGCGTAAATACACTGAATAGTGAGCCCTCTCATCCACTTGTCCAAAGCTGCAATGTTAGGAAAGCTACTCCCTGAGCTTTCGTGCAAAGGGTCATCTTTCGATGCATGACGCGTGCCTGATATTTTTTGCAACAAGTATCAGAGCATAGTAGTCACATTATGACTTTTTTTTTACTTATTAATGGACCTAATTGCGGTCAAATGCATCCAGTTCTGGCCGTAAGTGTAGTCAGATACAATCAAGATCGAGCTAGTGTGAATACGTCCTCACGCTTGAAAGACCTCCGATGCGTTTGCATACCCAATATTCGCTGACCTTGTCTTGCCACTGCTCATCCCCTGCAAGCCCCAACCATATGATTTCCATGCCCATCCAATCCCAGACGCCGCCCCCGTGCAACAGTCTCCCTATACCTGGCCAAACCATGTGCCCCCTTATCTCATGGCATAACAACGTCCTAGTCCGACCCCTGTAACTACCACCACCATATCCCCATTATCACTTCCTTCCAAACTCGACATCAGACGTCTACCGGCAGTCTGTCATCCGAGCCAAAACGCCCAAACCAGGTCCGAGGGACCTGAATAGTCCAAACCAGGCCCACGGTAGCAGAATTGTCCAAACGCCCACCCAATATCACCTTCTTGCAAACTCGCTGAATCGTCCAAACCAGACCCACCCAGTATCACCTTCTTCCAAACTCAACATCAGAGGTCTACCAGCAGAGTCTGCCATCCAAGCCGAATCGTCCAAACCAGGTCCACGGTAGCTGAATCGTCCAAACCGCGCCCCTCGTACCGGAATCATCCAAACCAGGTCCACGGTAGCTGAATCGTCCAAACCGCGCCCATGGTAGCGGAATCGTCCAAACCAGGCCCACGGAAGGAAGCTGAATCGTGCAAACCAGGCCCACGGTAGCTGAATCGTTCAAATTCGGGCCCATCAATATAACGACTACCTTATCAGTGGTCTTCCTTTCACCAGTCCCAGCTAAATAGTCCCAATCAGGCCCACGGCACTGGAAAATTTGTGGCGTACGAAGCGCCAGAAGCCAGGTAGGTTGGGCATTTCACCATCTCAACCTGCTTTGCTCACGTTGATGCCACTGGAAGCGATGATGATCAGGCCCATCAATATAACAACTACCTTATCCATGGGGTCTTTCTTTCACCAGTCCCACAGCTAAATCGTTCCAGTCAGGCCCCTGTCAGTCTAAACTTCCTGGCCCACCAAGCGCCAGAAGCCAGAAGATAGGCTGCGCATTTCACCGTCCTCAATCTTCTTCTTTCAGATTGATGCCAGTGTGACAATGATGATGATCTCATGCTACCAGCAATAATTGCGACAGAGATTCGTCCAGCGTCTCTGGTGCCCTCATGAGGTAACAACAAATTCAAACCCAGCTAGCACTAGAGCACCCAGAAATTCCCCCAGAATATGATATCAAAAGAGAGATGGCGATAAAATAAATTAAGAATACTTAAGTTAAATGACTATGCATCATCAAATATAGCTTTCGGAAATTCGGAAGTGAAAAACACATCACGTCACTTACAAACATGCCAGACGGAGAGAGTAAATCATGGATGGAATCAAGTGAAACGTTCTTCTGGCGCACTCGATCATGGCCTTTTCCCAATGTCTGGGCTAGAGCAACACCTAATAAGAAGACTGAAAGAGAGTAAGAGTGAGAGTGAGACGACGTGACGGAGGACAAGAGAGGTAAGGACCCAAGGACTCAAAAAATTCAAAATAACGAAATTCTCGAGTCATTTCAATCGGCTCAGTAATTACACGTTTCTGTGAATCATCATACCTGTCGCCCTCCCACCTCACCTCCGCGCGGAGTCCTCCTTCCAGGAGGTTCTCGGCGCAATGAGCGATTGCCTTCAGTGATCTTGTGTGATGGGCCCTGATGGCCCAGCCTCAGAAGTCAGAAATGACAGAATTTGGCGAAGACCACTGAAGAATTGTCCCGTCTAATTTTTTCCCAGCTCGAACCACTGTGCCGCATCAGAGTCGCCCATTTTTTCCCGTGTCCTTTCTTTTTTCTTCCTAGGAGGGAGGGACACAAAAGGCACAATGTGAAAACAAGAGGAATCGTGAGAACTTGCCGACTTGCCATCGAAGTTGGTTGAACAAAAAAAAAAAGTGACGCAAAAGCCGCCCAATGTCGAAAACAAGAGGAACGGTGACAGCTTGCCAGTGAAAAAATGCATGGAAATAATAATGTGGACGACAACAGGACAAGATTCTCATGGTAGCACAGGGCACCCCACACTGTTTTCTTTTTCTTTTCTTTTTTAAAGAACAATCATCCGTCTTGCAAGGCCTATATCCCAAGGACGGTGAGAGAATCCTCAGAAAATGTAGGCTTTGCAGGGTTGACGTCGTCATTCTGTTAGTGGGGAGCTGCACCTGCTGCGAACCGGCTCCACCTGCCGCAAACCGGGTCCAGCGTCCTTTTTTTCTTTCTTTCTTTCTTTCTTTCTTTCTGTCTTTTTTTGTTCTTTTTTGTTTTTTTTTGTTTTTTAAACTTTTTTTGTTTAAGGGTGACGGTCTTGAGATATCATCATTGAGCTGACCGGGCCTAGGCAATTCGGAAATATTTGGTTTTACTCATCAATCAAGTTCCATCACCTGGGTTCGAAAGTGTGTATCCACTGAGCTAGGCTCTTGGGTCTTGTTTCGTTTTCATACCTGTCCATTCCTGCAACGTACATTAATCTTGACCAGCTCTACGAGGACTGCGTCCGATCTTCTACACTCTCCCGACAGCTGTACCCCACCTTTTTTTTTTTTTTTTTTGAGAAGAAATACACGCTTATCTTCTCCTCATATGGTGAACAGCCGCAATTTTTTTTACTCTGCTATCATCTTCCCCAGTATTGTACCTCTCACTACCTACCTGGACAAACAGGGGTCCATCCACACACCAAGAAGACCAGGAGAGATCTAGGTGTAAGGCATAATGTCTAGTTCGAGTAATGAGCCCTCACAGGGCCCTTATCAGACATGCAAATGTTCTGGGCTGCGGCCCCTAGCAAGCCTGTGCCCGCCCTAAGTGAAGGCGGGCCTGAATATCCACGAGAGGCCTCGTTTCAACATTTTTCCATATGTGGGGATTCAGACAGTTGCAGCACGCAAGTTGGTTACAGAGCAGCGTGAGCCTCCCGGCTCTTTCCAGAAGCAAGGGCTGCGCTGTACAGTTGAGCCCAGGGCTCAGGTGGTTGCGCCCTGGGCACATACTGTGTGAGGCCGACACATCACGGACTGGCCGCGGGCCGCTGAGAGAGCAGCATTGCCGTCACACATGAGCCAGGAGCCAATGAGAATGCTGTGAACACTTAGAGGTTGGGTGGCTGCCTGAACGTGCCTAACTGCTCGAGGCCCAGGCCAGTATCTGCTCCTGGGCCTGGGCGCAGACACTTGGGGCCAGAAGCAAGCTACTGGGTCCCCCACACGCTTGGCCAGGCCAGGCAGCAGCGGGCACACTTTCCATAAAGGAACATGTGTGCCCCATGAAGAGGGCATTCTGGCCTGTGCAGGCATTGCGGCCACACTGCTGCATTGTCGTGCGAAGCTGCCTTATGCAGGCAGGCCGGGGCGCGCGGGGGCGCTGAGTTGTGAAGAGGGCACTGCGGTGGCAGTGGGCACACGGCAGCCATAACTGGGCCGAGAGTGCGGGTGCAGGTATCGGCGATGGTGGTCTTTGGGAAGGAGGCACATGCAGAGGGGTAGTCGCGGTGTGTTGAGGGGAGGAGAGAGCACACACATGGTGTATGCTGGCGGTCGGCATTGGCGATGACGTAAACATACATTGGTCTTCAACTGCGATGTGATCTGGTTGTGAGAACGTAGATAGCCTGAGTAGAAGAGGCTGGGCGCCGAGCGTCAGACGGTTGGGGTGGACAGTGGAAACTGTGTTGGTGTGACCAGAGTGTGGCGGAATTGACACAAGAGTTCATTGTATTGCTCTTATTTGCATGGTATCTTGGTGCATTGTGCTCTCTTCTTGGTACACGACGATCTGAGCTACTTCGTGGTTTTGCAACTTGGTTTTCTGTCTATCGCTCCCGCTCCTAATCCTTGCAATTTGGTATCAGAGATGGTTCAATATCGCCAACACTGGCGCTGACGACTTTGTTACTTTGGTGCACTGACAAAGCTTCTACGCAGTAAGGATACATTGGCGCTGGCTTGTTGTAGGCAACTCCCGGGTAGAGGGGAGTGTTGCCGGAGGGCTGTGGCGACAGCGTGGAAGGTGTGGTGAGAGCGGACGCATGCGAGATGATGAAAGCATGCTGATATGGCATTTTGGCTGAGGTGGCACTCCATTGTGTGTGGTACCGAGGCTATGATGGGTCATCAAAATGCACATCAGCTCAATGGATGAGAAATCTGTGGTTGGGGGCAGCTATCTTCAGGTACGTTATTCCCTTACCTTATCTTTTAATCTCTTCTTACCATGAGGAAGTGAGTCCACCTCGAGTGTCTTCTGGTTCAGGAGAGCGCTCTACCTTGAGAGTCGACATTCTTCCTGGTGGTGCATCTGGAAGGAGAGAGTGGTGCCTCTGAAGGGCACGGGTCACAGTCACCATGCAACCCATGGGAGCAGAGCATGCATGCTTTGCAGCTTTGTCCTTTGAGCTCTTGCTGCGCTGTACAGGGAACGTGGACTGACCAGTCCTATGTGAGACGTCAACCAGACCGTTTATAAAGAACCTCTGACGGAATCTGATCTGAATACTGGTTGTGATCGTCGTCCTGTCTGCCACATTAATTCCTGAGGACTTCGGGGGCTGTCCTTAAATTGCCTCTTGATTAGCCAGATCAGTCGAATGTAAGGCTCGTTGCACGCGGGGATAAATAACGGGCAGTGCTGGTCATAAGCGGGTTCCTGGGCACAGGGGTGAGCCGTTGTGCACACGACAGACACTGCTGCTTGATGATGCAGCCAGGATCGTTGGATACAGGGGAAAGGAAGGTTCCAATTGGTGCTCGTACACAAACACAATTTATTCCCATTTCTGCATACATCTGTGCAAGTGATTTATTTTTATTTTGACGACTTGAGGTGACAGACTGCTAACACCTAACAGACAGCCTCAGACTAGAACTGTAGTGTTTTTTTTTTTTTTTTTTTTTTTTTTTTTTTTTTTTTTTTTTTTTTTTTTTTTACTGAAGTAATCTACCTTAGCCAGTTCCGATTCGTTGCTGCTGTGAAAGAACTGATCAAAGTAGGGTAGATCATTTGTTTAGTTTGTGTAAATTGATACCACTTGATCGGTAGCCTATTGACTTGCCGAATATTAATTTATTATATATTATTTTACAACTCAGTCAGACACATGTTGTGGTAGGCCCTAGTGAGGGCACTAGTGTAGATAGTGATCTGCCAAGCTGATGAGCGGTACAGATAGTGGGGAAGGGACAGCTGACGATAGGAGGCAAACACAGCGGGACACACGTAGGATTCCAGCAGTGTTTCAGGTTCTTCTGCCAGGGGACGAGAGAAGGTTCTGGGCCGAAGCAAGGGCCCAGCAGCTGCGGAACAAGTGTTAGCAGCAGCAGCAGCTAGCGCAGTAGCAATGGCTACATCTGCAGCGACCTCTCAAGGTCAGCAAACGTCAGGAACCTTAGTATCATCCACTGGGACTAGTGCCGGACCCTCCACCAGTCAGATGGCAGGCTCGCAGTACAGCCTGCCACCCCCACCTACTAGAGAGGAGTTAGAACTCCAGCACGTAGAGTTACTCTGCTTACAGCTAGAGAAGCAACTAAGACAGGCTACTAAAAGAAAAGACCAGATTAGCAATCGTAAGGCTAGATTGGAGAACAGAGAGGCAGATAAGGCTGCATTAGAAGGGATAGATGATTCGACCTTGGATGATGTAGGAAAGATCATCCGGGTGAATCTGCTAAACATGAACGAGTATTTGATAGCCGCCTGGATGAGATCCAGTTAACCCTTGACCAGATACTGATGGCCGTGCAGGGAACGGGAGGACCACTACCCTCCATACCTAGCAGGCCAAGTGTCCGGCAACAAGCAGCTTTTCCATTGCCGGCTCCATTGCCAGCAATGACAGGCCCCTTTGTTCCACAATTTGGTGTCCCACCAAGTGGTACGTCAGCAGCAGTAGCGCAGACTATTGCTTCTTCATCTTCAGGTCCAGCTGTTGCAGCTTCAGGGCAGCAGACGGTTCAGTCAACCACACAGCTCGCCGGACAGACTGGATCCCAGGAACCTTGGTACCCGAAAACCCCAATGGAACCTCCAAATGCCTTCACATGCGACAAGGAGGACAAGGCCCTCACCACTTGGTTGAGGACGGTTCCATTGTGGGTAAGGGCCAAGCGTACACTGCATGAGGAGGAGGTGATCACTGCCGCTTCTTACTTCGAAGGATCGGCAGCAAGATGGCCGAACGGGTACATAGCGACAAACGGCTTTGCCAGACGGATGAACGACTCGGCGCAGACCCAAACACTTGAAAGCTTCATGGACCTAGTGGAGGGGCGTTGGCACAACTCTCAACAGGCTCAAGAAGCCACTAATGCTTTGACCCGTCTTGACACTAAGAAGTTCAAGAGAACTCACAAGTGTCGTGGAGAAACTGGTAGTAGTACCGGGAGTTCGCTATGATCCCCAAGTCCCTCCTAACAATGTTCTTGAGATGTCTTCCAACAAACACCAAGAATTTATTGGTTAGTGAGGAGAGCATCGAGTATCAAACCCACGAGTCTTTCAGCAACAAGGCCTTAGACTTAGAGGCAAGGTTGGGAGGGCCTCATAAGGTAGTTGTGGATGGAAGAAAGAAGAAGAATCCACAAGAGTGGAAGAAGAAGGGAAGTCGTTTGATGATGGTTGATTCTCATGGGAATCAAACCGAGATTGACGACCTTTCTGAACTTGTGGAGAAGACAAACATAGGCAGCGAGGATAGCACAAAAGGTACCAACCTCGCCGCCATAACTAAAGGAAAGGCAGTTGGCCGCGGGAAGGCCAGTCAACAAAAGAGTCAGGGCCAAACACAAAACTCAAACAAGAC